TATATATATATAAACTATGAAAGCAAATTTTTTAAGGAAAAAGCAGACAAAAAAAGATCTGACCCTTTATTATGAAGAAAAAATCAAAACACAAACATTACAAAGAGAAAAATATTACAAATTTATTAGAAACTTATGTCTTTACTAAATTAGAGAGCTTAAAGTAAAATTATTCCAAAACTTTTAATTAAAATATTTGATTTAATTAAAATTGAAATATTAATATTGAATTAAAATATTGAAAATGCTGAATAGAACAATGTGAAAAGCACGCTTTTGCATAATACGCGTCAAAAATCGAGATGGTAACAAAAAAAAAATCTCATTTTTGAAAAGGGAAAATTAAGCACCTTTTAAGAATACTCGATGAAAAAAGTACCTTTAAGGACTTTTAAATAACGATAATCGAAAATAAGCACCTTTAAGCACTTTTTAAAAATGCTACGCATCACTTATCATCTAACATGTTGAAGTTAGGAAGGAGTTAATCATGAATAGACGTCAAAGCAGGGTAACTCAAATTCGAACGTAGTAATAAAATCACATTCAAAATATCAGAATTTGAAAAATCATGAGAAAAGACTCGACTGTCGAAAAAACTATTAAAAAAAACATTGTGACATTAAAATTGATTGAATCGTAATGGATTGAACATGTCAGAAAGAATAACTGGTTATCCAAATTCGCACACCGTCATAACATCATATTAAAAACACCGGAAATTGAAAAATTACGTCTAAGGAATTAAAAAAAATTATTAATAACTTTAGAAAAAACTAGCGTCAAACCATGTGATATTACGTTGGATCCTTAACTGAACGCGTCAAAAAATGATATTTCAAAATCGAAATTCAAATGTCATAATAACATCATATTGAAAATAAAAAAGCCGTATTAAAGGAGTGAAAAAAATAAATAACTGCTGATAAACTATCAACTAATGACGTTAAATTATGATGGATGACGTAAAATTATGATTTTGCATTCTACATTCATATTTGTAGAAGTGTGATATTCTGAACAAATAAAAAAATCAGAAATATCAGGACAAAATATTTTTTATGAGGAATATCAGGACAACTACAAACCCTGCGCTTTAATTGATTAGTAAATTCAATATATTAAAATTAAATTACATTGAAACAAGTCTTACCATAATTATTGAGGGATAATGTGAAGACTAACAATATATATGATTAGAAAATGAAGTTACAAATGAACTCACCAATAACTGAATTAGGTTCTGTGCCAAAAGCACATATACAATGTGACCCACCAGGCACTTGAAAACGGGAGAAGCTCCAAACAGAACTAAAATATTTAGGTAAGAAGGTTGCAGATGCTAAACTGAAAATTAAAAAGAGTACAATTTTAAAGATTTAAATAATCAAAAAAAAAATTTACACTGAAAAAGTGTTTGGTTGTTAATATCTAACATGAGCTACACTAATCGGTTATTAGCGATGTTCTGGGATTCATCCTTAATAATTCCAAGATACTACACCAAAATTTAGATCAAAAGGCCAGATGGTAATAAACCAAGAACTACAAATCACACTTCCTAACAGCATAAGAGCTTTTACGGCTCTAAAATCATCTGAGGTATTATATTTGAGTGGAATCTGAACAACTAAGGCAGGACTAGTATAAGTGCAGTCCGAAGAAACATTAATCTTTTAACATCATAGGGTATAAAATCTCGGGCCCAAGGTCACGGTAGGCAAACTTGAAAAGTGCAAAACTGGTTGAAAATTATCTAATAAACTGAATAATGCAGAAATAGTAATATGAAGTTATAATTTTAAAACACAAAATTAGGAATGTTTTAGATATACCAATAAAAAGAATAAAAACTATAGTTTTTACCATACCATTAATAATTATGATACGTATGAAATAAAGTTAAAATTTTTTGAAAACATAAATTAAGTTCAATAGTAGTTATAAAATTTAAAAAAAAACCTATTAAAATTATAATCAAGAATGAATTATTCAGCTATTAATAACAAGAGTAAACTGTTAATGGGAGCTTAAAGACCTAGGAACAGAGTCTTTTTCAAGCCTATATCTGCATGGCTTTCAATTTTTTAATTGCATTAGCAATAAAAATACAAAATGATTACAATTTTAAAAAATTCCATGAAATACTTTAACTATTTAATAATGAAACATTTCCTAATTCATCATGTATTCACATTTTTTGTTTTAATAGTATTAACACAAACACCTTAAAATATCACTAATTTTCAAACTATAGAACTATTCTAACATTCTATCTAAACATTTGCTAACCAAGAAATATAACATTTCTTTACACGATGCCAACAACAGATATCTAACAGTTTGTATTCAATTAATTTTAAAAAACATTAATTTTCTGTTTATTACAAAGTAAAGATAAATAAATACATAACATAAGATTAAACAAAACTACAGATTCAAATACATTAGATCAGTGGTTCCCAACCTTTTATGGAGCATCGCCCCCCTCTTGGGGTTGACAGACACATATCGCCCCTTTCTCTTTTTGTTCAAAAACTATTCATTGTTGTTTGTGAGCAACCAAACACTGAAAATATGCTAAGTTATATTTGATTTTAATTTAAATTATAATGCAAATAAGGAGGCAATTTTATCCTGCCATTTTTATTAATGAAAAAAAATTGTGCATCTTTCTTTTCAAAAAGAAATGATATTTAAAACAGAATAATCAATACAAAAGTACATTTTTTAAATTAATATTTTAATGCAATTTTTTTAAAGTCATATTTTAATCCATAAGCTTTACCCAAGCTAACTCGTAATCAAATTTTTTAAAGACGACTTTAGCCTCACAGTCATACTTCAAATCTAATCTAAAAACTCAGTCTGCAAGGAGGAAGTGAGCTTATCCACAACTTCAAAATTGAAAGGATCGAAAATCCAATTCGGAATTTCTAATTTCATCAAATCTCTAAATCTTGATTCCATATCAGTTTTTAACTGATCAAGGTGATCAGTAAAAATTAATATTTTATTTTCGAGAATCCCGATAACTGCCATTGAACAGTTTTCAAGAGTTGGAAATTGCATTAGCTCTTTGCGACCAATGTTTGACTTGTAGACATCAAACTTGGCGATAAATAAAGATATGCTTCCCTTAGCCTTGATAATGTTCAGTTTATTTCCTTGAAGTTTTACAATGATTTCTTTCATTTTTTCAAAATATCCGTGAAGTACACAGTTTCCAACTTGAGTTGCTTCAAACTCTCACTTAAAACAGGATCAGTGGTGTCGAGAAACTCAGTAACCGAGTCAAACAATTCGAAGAAACAGTGCAAACAGTTTCTTTTTGAACGCCATCTCACAGCTGTATGTAGGAGCAAGCATTCGAAATCTTCATCATTTCCATGGCAAAGTTCTTGGAATAAACAGGTCATTGAGAGAATTAGCTTTGATTTTATTGATGCCAGAAATGACGAATTGTAAAGTGTCATGCAGAGCACCACTCAACATTTTTGCAGCCAAATGTTGACGATGAATGACACAATGAATGGTGATGACCTCCGATACTTCTTTTTTAAGATGAGCCAGAAACCCAGTACGACGACCAGACATGGCAGGAGCACCATCTGTTACCTTAAGCCAGGGTTTCTTAACCTGTGGTTCATGAACCCCTAAGGGGTCCATGAGTTACATTTTGGGGGTCCACTGACTACTCCTAATTTTTAAAACGTTTGGAAGCCTACCCATTGTTTGTAAAGCGAGCTATGGAAGCTTTAATTTCGTTTGCTACAGTGTACCTTTGCGAAGCGGGATTTTCCACATTTGTGACAATAAAAACATAACATCCAAATCGATTGAATTATGAACATGATATGCACGTTGCTTTGTCGAAAACCATCCCCCAATTCAATTTATTAATTAAGGAAAAGCAGTAGCAACCTTCACATTAAGAATTTTAATTTTAAAAATTTTGTATACTATTAAAATAATAAAATTAAATGTTTTCTAATAATTGATGTTTTTTGCAATTATTTTTTTTCTCAGAGGGGTGGTCCGTGACTTCTTAAAATTTTTTAAAAGGGGTCCATTATATCAAAAAGGTTAAGAAACACTGCCTTAAGCACTTACATTTGTAAGGGGAATTTCTTTTTAATCAAAATAATCTTTGACCAATTTAAAAATCGACGATCCTTTTGTATGAGTGATCAAGTTCTTGTAAACATTTCCTCGCTAATCTCCTTACTCTCATTTATGAATCTCACGTAAGTTAATACAATAGCTTTGCATGTTTTCTATCACAGTTGATTCATCAATCTGCAACGCAAATTTACCTTCTTTTGAAAATTTGATGAGTTTTGATTCAACGTCTGCGGCCCTCTCATCAATACACCTGGAAACAGTATTATTGCTCAGGGGAGTATTAGTAGGGTTTCATATACGTTTTCAATTTCGATCTCAAATAGCTTTTGTTATCAACATTATTAGCAATTTTTATCTTTTGAATACTCGTCGTCCCCCTATGGATTATCGCCCCCAGGTTGGGAACCACTGCATTAGATCAATCTATGCAAATTGTATGATATTTGTGCAATATTTTGTTACATAATTTATAATAATTTCTAATACATATAGGTTAGAACTTAGCAAATTCGTCATTTATTTCAAAAGGGAATATAATACCTGGATTGTTTATTTCTTTTACTGTCCTCCACTGCAAAAATATGAACTGTACCATGATCACTGGACACACAAATAAGAGAAGAATCAAAATTAAAATTGATGCTGAAAGAATAAAGTAGAAATTAAAACATATTTTATCTATAAATGTAAAAATTGTCACTGATTATATAAAATAATCAATAAATACATATAACAATACTTTTTTAAACAAAAGAAAATTTCAGATGTTCTACAATGCAAAAATTACTGCATTTTTTTGCATTTCAAAAAAAACTAAGCATGCATTTTTTTTAAATAACCATTTTTTATATAGCTATTTTTACTCTGATTGCACCACAAGACCAAAAATGTATATTGAAGTTCAGAGGTTATAATATTTAAAATTATCCAACTTATCGCTAACTTCTTTGATATCCTTTTTACATGTAATAAATAAAAAGAAAATAGGCCATGCGTGTGTCATATTTAAGTTTTGGATCTTGCTTTGAAAAGGCAAAATGCCTGGAAAGGCAAAAGAATTGAAAATAAACATTAAGCAAGGTAGAAATTATACAAATTAGTACGACTCAAAACCTGATTTTAAATTTTTCAATACAAAAAATTTATGTAATTTTCTTTTTTTAAATCATTTATTTTATATAATTTACAGTAACCTGAAATGTTGACTGAAATGACATCAGAGGTGTCAGAAATGTTTTAAAAAGTTTAACATTAATCTAATGTGAAAAAGAAACTTAAACAAAATGTGTTTTGTATTATCATCGATCAAAATCTAAAGAAATAATGCTAATTCAATGCAATTTTTAAAGTAGATTGTTAATATTAATTTAAAGCTAAATGATTTTTTTTTCCTAAAGGATGCTCTACTTTTTCTTACTTTGAAATATTTCTTCTGCTTTTTTACAGTTATTTATTTCAAATTTAATGCATAATTTTTTTTGTTTATAATCCAAAATATTAAACTGATAAACGAAGAATTGAAAAGTGGAAAACCTATGAAGGATAAATTAAAGTTCGAAAAAGGAAGATTCAAAAAAAAATTTTAGATGAAAAGAAAATATTTTTATTTTCGAGCCACAGTTTATGATAAGAATATAAACATTGCTATACATAATATCAACTATTTATGAAAATCTTCATTAAAAACAAAATGCACAATATAGTAATTTAATATTGATTCAGTATTGCAATATCCCTAATTTGTAATAAGTAATAATTAAATTGTAAACCATATGGAAGTTCAATATGACTAAGCAATTTTCAGAATAGTATAAAATATTCATAATAATTCCATATCTAATAGTAAAACATACATGATATACAATATTTATAAAATGCTATAATATTATATATACTAAAATATTAATAATAAACACAATATTAATAAATTAATAGTAAAATGTACATGAGTAGCCTTTTTGATGCAAATAAATAGGATAGACAATCTTTTAATTGGCATTTGTTATAATTAGTTGGGGGCAAGTGGTGACTGTTAATTTTGCCCCAACCAGTCTATCCAAATTCAGATGACAAAAAGTGAAATTACTGAATAGACCCATTATTAAAAGTCAAACAAAAGAAATAATGCTGGAAAACTTCAAAGCGGTGGCAATTTTTATCCATAATTTCAAGAATAATTTTTCCTAAGTTTTTATGATGGACAAACAGTAATAAGTAGTTTGAAAGTTAAAATAAAACTTAATAATTTTATTTTAAAATGCATTCAGAATTTAGAGTAGAAAGAAAAGATACATTAATTTATACCACATACAGTGTTCTCCATAAGTGATTTTATAAGGGCAGCTCTTTCATTTTGCCTTTCGATCTTTATGAAAGTGCCTTCTTTGCATCTTTTTGCAAAAATAAGCCGCATTCCCTTAAAAACCTTATTCCTATTCCATTTTAAAAAATATATAACTCACTGCTTAAATAATTACTCATGTAAAATTATATCTGTTTATAGGTTTCATTCTGATAACTTTTACAAATATTTACTTTGTTTGGATTGTTCTTAACTAATGAAAATTTTTAAAAGTTATCTTGTTTTCAGGGGTAAGGGTACATTAATGAATAAATGATTTTATAAAAATACTTTTTAAATAAGCACCTTTTTTAAAAAATGCACCTTTAAATGTTCATTTTTTTTTTAATAATTTTCAGTTTAAATTCTAAAAAAAAAAAAAAAAATCATCAATGGNAACGCTTTTAAGTTGTTTACCAACCATTTGAGTTAGTTTACCTTTTTCTTTTCTTTTTTTTTTGAAAAAAAAAATGTTTAGAGATTGCTTTTTAGATTAGATTGTTTAGAGATTGTTTGTCCTTTACTTTTTATAAACCACAATTTTTCTCTTGTTTTAATAATGCGTGATAATTATTTCTTGAAATATATACATAAAATAGTATAGGAAGGAAATCTAAAAACTATTAAGGATCACAATCAGTTATTATATAATATTACACAATTTGATAATTTTTTCGGTGTTAAGTGATGCCCTTTCAATTTTCAAAGTGCCGTACCCTTTTTTTATTCATAGGGATAACTCTGTCATATATAAATATAAAAATTAAATTAAAGTAATAGCTCACCAATAAATATTAGCTTGGTTGGCACCTCTTCTTAATTCAGTTACAAGCATTCCAGAGGTAGTATCAAATATTCTAATTAAAGTACCCTAATAAAATAATGACATTTAAAGTGATAAAAATATCAAAGTTTTCAAAATGAACCGAAAAAATTAGTAGGGAATTAAATCTAACTGGGGTTATATTTAAATAAACTTTTCTATTAACTAAGTAAAAACACAGACTTATAGTAATTTTGACAGAAATATAAAAGTTTTTCACTTTTAAGGGTAAATATAGAGAAACAAGTTTTTCAAAAAATCCTGTATACTCTGTTTTGTAGGTTTTTGTTCACTTATACAAACTAATGTATTTAATTATTTCTTTTGATTATAAATTAATAAATCTTTTTAACTTTCATGGTAGTTATTTGTATTTTTTATGAAAGTAAAGGATTTATAAATTTTTTAATATTCTGTGAAATATAAAAAGAAATTTAAACATAAAACAAAATGCATGTTATGTTTAAATACAAAATGAGTAGTACAGGGTGCTTAGCCAAATCTTTCAGCAAAAAATAAGCACCTTTTCAGTGCTTAAGCACTTAAAAAATATTTTTAAGCACTATATACATTAACAAAATGAAAAATAATTTTCAAAGACTTTACATGATCACGATAAAATAACTAGTTTCTGACAAATAACGCTTTTCTTGATTATATTAGCCACCATCATAAGATAGAGAGATTTTTCAGTTCGATTTCAGAGGATGAAAATTGAATCCTGGAATCATGAATATTTTGCAAAAAGCAGCAGACATGCACATGAGAGGGCAAGAATCTCACTGAACCCAGCTCAGTATACGCACATGCGGACTCGCAAGTATTTAATCAGACATATAAAATGATTTACACTTTCATACACTACAAACTGACGGTACGCCGAAAAGCATTGTGAAAATGTTGAAAGGAACAATGTGAATACCACGCTTTTGCATAATATGTGGCAAAAATTGACACGGTAAAGGAAAAAAAAAATCTCATTTTTGAAAAGGGAAATTTAAGCACTTTTTAAAAATACCCAATAAAAAAGGCACCTTTAAGAGCTTTAAAAAACGAAAATCAAAAATAAACACTTTTCAAAAACGCTGCACACCTTGATAACAGGATTTTCATTTAAGGAAAAAAAAAACCATCTAAACTGAAATGTGAATTACTTATAACATAAACAATTTTTTTTTGTTCCCTTTCAAGTTTACGCTAACTAAGATCACCAGTACACATAGTAAATAATTACTTTTTCTGATGCAGTAGCTATTCTTGTTCCAACTAAATTCAGTGCAATGCAACTGAGTGAAGCTTCATGAGCGGGTATATCTAAGGGTGGTTTCTCTGTATTGGCCAAATCAACTATGTGGACATGGCCAGTTTTACACCCAGGAAATGCTAGAAGTGAATTGTTGCTGTTCGGACAAAGCACACACAAACCTGAAATATCAGTTCATATATTAAATCTATAAGGATTGTTTTCTACCATTGGTGATAGAAATCAGTGAAATATTATGTACTACAGGAAATAATATCTTTAACAAACCTTTAGGATTCAGACAAGTTTCAAAAATATGAAGTAACTGAGCATTTTGAGTGAAAGTATACACTTTGATCATTGTTTCCAGAACAACCACAATTCTAAAACATTTTTTTTAAAAAAACACAATAAATAGCTGATCATTTAATTTTAAAACATTAGAAATCAATAAAATGTCAACAAATTTAAAAAGAGAATTACCATAGTCACATCATTACATATATAGTTAGAAAAAACATCTTAACAGAATATAGAGTATGCACAAAACAACTCAAAAAATTTGGTATACTCATAATAGAAAATAATTTTCATCTTTATGGTTTTCTTTTAACTCTGTAGTGTCTTAATTTAAAATGCTTACATTAAACCTATTAAGCAACCTAAATAACTTAGTTCTGAAATGAAGGAACAGCTGTATAAAATTATATTTTTAATGTTAAGCTTAGAGCCTTCTTAGTCATATATTCCCTTTTTAATATGTATAACACAGGTATAGGAGATTCTTAAATATATATAGAAACATAAACATTTCAAATCGGGATATTTCAACTTGGATACCCTGTATATAAACTAAAAATACATAAGTATAAACAAATAAATAATGTAAAATTAATAAAATTTTGAAAATGATGGTAAAAAGTCTTTTAGTTAAAAAAAATATATATATATATTTACAAATGCATTTTTGTCTCAAGCAAGCATAATTTTTTTCATAACAGAGTAAAACATGTTATACAAATTCTTAAAGATCAATTTTCAAAAGTTGGAAGCCCAAATACAAAAGTATACTAAAAACTTTGATTAGATCACTTTTGAATAATTTATATTGAAGTGCCCTTTTTT